AGATTAAGGCAAACGATGATTCTAATTGATCAAAAATGTAGGGATAGAATATCATTCCCATTAAAAAAGTTGAACTGGATAATAAAGCCTATACACAGGAGAATAGAGGTATTACTGTGAAATATTTCTGAGGTTTTCCTTTGGAGCAGTAACCAATGAGGCCGGAACTGAATGCTATAGTGATGCGCCAGCCCTGCAGCCCCAGAAATTGGCACAAGTAGTAAGGGAGAGTTCCCACTTTTATATAGAAAGTCATAGAGGATAGGGTCACAAGTCAACAGGCCAAAGGGAGAGAACAGGTAAAAACGAAAGAAACATAATAACATACACTCAGCCACACCTCTGGAGGTGCTCCCAAACAAGACTTTAGTCCCTGGAGTGCTCAAACAGCAGCCTGCAGTTGCCCCCAAGTCTGAGTCCAGCTCCTCCAGTCCACAGTCCTTGCTAACCAAGCCAGTGAGATCTCCAGCTTGGCTGCGCACTCCTTCGTGTAAGGCTGACCAAGTTCCATGTGCACGCTGCTCTCTCTCCCCCTTACTTCAGCCTCAAGCTTCCTCTTCCTTTTTCCTTGCCCTCTGTTCCCTGGGAGTTTCAGTCCAAATGAATAGACATCACTAGGGACTTACCTAAATAATAATTTCACGGATTCCATGCAATGCCCACGAAACCCATAACATCTGCTGGAGGGGAAAAAATCTATGGAAAATAAAAGGCCGGCTCCCCAGACAGAGCCAGCAATTCTCAGGGCACTGTGGCAGCCCACCAGGGCAACCCCTCATCGCCGATTGCCTGCAAGGGCAGCCTGTCATGTGGGCCTACCCCTCTTCACCAATTGGCAGCAGAGGGTGGGGCTGCAGGATAGACAGCCCTCACAGCCAATCATCAGTGAGGGGCTGGGCCACTGGGTCCCTTGACCAATCAAAGGTGTGTGTGTGGGGCGGGCGGGAGGGGGCAGGATCACGCTGCATTCATGAAACGGCTGCTAGGTACTGTGTTCTGCCCACGAAAACAGCGGGCAGCCACCATCAATTAGGTAGGTCCTGAAACACCACAGCTCTACAGACTGTACCCTTGTTTCATCTGCTGTTACACACTTTACATTCACATTAGTGACTTATGCCTTGTTTTTTTTAACCAAGAAGCTTTAATTTTCCCCCTCCTTGATAACCCTTTGTCTATTAAAAAGGGTTATTTTGTGATACCTTTTATTTGACCAACTGCATGGTTAGGAGAGAAGTCTGACAAGCTTTCATACATTGATCTGATGGAGTGATGTTTGTTCAATAGAGGAAAAATATTAAATACAGACCCAATGGAAATTCATGGCAAAACTCTAATTAGGACCAGAATTTGGTCCTAAGGTGTTCAGTAATCAAAAAGACAAGAGTAGTCTACAAGATGCTGAGGTAAGAGCCTTGTGCAGAGACAGCTCTTAGAGAGAAGAATAAGTTCAATCACAGACACATTCATAAACAGAGCAATTATAAATAACTAAAAAAATAATTTGAAATTATAATGCACAATAAAAACTCTGTAAATGTGTTCACTTTTACCCAAAAACATAATAGGCTTAGCTAGGCTAAGGCATGCTACTTAAAGAAAGCAAAATAGAGGACATATCAATCTTCTTATTTTCTTTTTGGCTATAAAAATAATCTTCAGAAGCCTTGTGTGGCGATACTATGTAATATCAGTCATCATGAGTTTCTATATTACCTAATGCTCAAAAGCATTTCAGATACAATTTATATGGGACAGACTATGCAAAACAGTCAGTGAGTCAGCATATCACAAAACAATGAATTAAAGTTCACTTGCAATAAGTTCTCATCCCTGTCCCCCACCCTGCCTTATAATAAAACTTTTACATATTCTCACTGGGACAAATTCAGACTCTGTTTATGAGAATGTAACTTGCCTTGATTTCAGGCAGAATTTTGAGTATAAACCATTACAGAATTTGACCTAACTTTTTTTTCAGGAGGTGGCAATTGTATTAACTGTATTAACATCAGAAACATGTTAATTGTTGTTTTGTGCCCTCAGATGTTCTGAATCAAAATGTAGTATATAGTATGTAAAACTGTCCTTTGAGAATAATTATATATTTGAAGTAATTTTTTCCCCCTCAGCACAGCATGGAAAGAGAAGGGCAGCACAGAAGTGTTAACGTGCCGTGCTGCCAGACAGTGAACGGGTGGAAGTATTTGCATAGGAGAGCATCTGGACTCTATATGTACTCAAATACTTTGAGGGGGAAAGCAGTTTTCCACATTCATTACAGCTTAGTAGGAAGAGGAGAAAAGGAACAAGGGAGGATAGAAAAGGAACAGGGGACTCCTTTTGTATCTGTGTCCAATATGGTTTCTTTTGATTTTTCATTCTCCATAGTCAAGAGCTCCCCATGTGTTCTCATCTGTTACCCAGGCATTGCCATACCTGCCTGCCTGTGTGAAAGTGGCTCAGCTGCTGGCTCTGGATGAGGCTAACAGATCACATCTATCTCCCTGGCATCTACTGAGTGTGCAGGGCTGCAAGGATCAAGCCCCGGACAAGAACACAAAAGTAGGTCTGTATAGAAGCAGCCAACCTTCTATATTGTCCATTGCTCATTGTGCGGACACTGGAGGTCAAAACTATCTAACATTCCTGCTTTTTCTGTATGTGTGCTTGAGAGAGAGAGAGAGAGAGATCACAAGTAGCATATCGTTTTACTCTATTATTTTGGTTATTAATTATTGAGAAAAATGACAGTTCAAAAGCATTGTACAAAAATAGAGAATATATGTGCCTATGTTAAATCATTTCTTATTAATGAAAAAAACCCAGTAGAATAACTGTGCATTCACACAGATGATAAATTAGGTAGATGATAGTTGGAGCATATTAATCTGAATTTGCATGCGGAAAGAGAAAGAGGGAACTTAGTAAAAATAAGTAAATGGAAATGTCTGGTGAGAGAATGGAGATCTGCTATCCAGGAGTGGTAACAGGAAGAAGTAACACAAAACAAAAAGGAAAAAAGTCCATTGAAATCATGGAAACATGCCAAAAAAGAATGGGAATGCATCTTTGGAAAAATGTTTTGAGCCAGAGAGTCATGTGAAGTATTTCACAGCAGAGAGCAGTGACCAGATAGGAGCAAACATTGTTAATGTATGTTTGTTAATTGAAATGATAATTTATTACCCAGATTTGTCAGAGCCCCTTTTTTAGAAAGTGTTCATTAAAAGAATGATTCAATAATGCCCAAACATTAACTATTAATAAGTAAAGTTGTTTGCACTTGACACACATATCTGGAAGCATTTTACAAGTGTGAGCTAAAACTTGAGAGTACACTAATCTTGGGAAACGTAGAGAAGCCCTCTGACATTCAGCATTTCATCCGATCCCTGTTAGTTGCTCTGTTGAAACATAGATACTGGGAATTTTCTTTTCAGTGCTGTGGATCATTTCATGTGACAATGTTTATGTCTCTTCTTTTGGAGTCCATCTCATTTCAGTCTTACTTTTTTTTCTTTTTTACGGTTGTATGTTCTTTAAAGCCTTCCTTTACAATCACCAGCACATATTATACAGGGATAATCATGCGAGCTGTCAGGTTTCATCTCTATGCCTGGTACACCTTTTCATGTTTCTGATAATATTGTATTCTGATAAATACTGTATTTATCACAGTGCTTCCCTTCCCCCACTTCTTTCTTTCTTTTCTCACACCATCTTCCCATCTCTCTTCCTCTGCAACCCCTCCTCTTCCTTCTCTTCGCACTCTCACTATAGAGCTTTTCAGTCTCTGAAAATGGACCCACTGAAGAAAGATTTGCTGTCCCATTCGTTCCGCACTGCCCCATAAAAAGCGAATATTTTCAGGTTGACTGAAAGTTTAACTTTGTTATTTTTTTTATTTTTAAAGAAAATCCAGCGTGACATGGCACGCGTTGGTGCCCTTGCCACTTAACAAATTACTTGTTTTTTTGACCTAAGTTAAATGCTGTGCAAATTTCCCTTGTCCATGTTTTCTTTGTGTGGAGACTCCACTGATAAAGAATAAGGAGCTAACTTATTGGGACTGCTTAAGCAGAGCTTCAGTTGTTTACCACAGATTTTTTTATACCATATTTTTAAAGACAGTGAGTCAGATATCTCAGCTGAGGTAAACTGGTATAGCCCCATTAACTTGAATTGACTTCTTTACACTAGATGAGGATCTGGCTCAATGCATTCAGGCAATGTGCTAAGTACAGTAGCTCCTAAGGCTGTGACTGCAATTTCAGAGCACAATATGCACATTAATTCCTGTCCACCAGGCAAAAATGTTATTCGCAGAATTAAATGAAAGCAAATTGCAATCTGACACACTACTAAGATACAGAGGAAGTACACAACTATCCCTGAAAAAATCCTGAGGTTTTTTTACAGTTCTAAGCATATATCAGCCACTTCATTTATCAAATATTGTTTTAGAAAAAATCCTAAAGCTTCTTTTATCCTCACACCCGGTTGAGAGTTGAATCTAATGAAGCTGCTCCTAGAGACTACAGAAGCAATATATTGTGATTCATTCTCCTCCCTCCTTGAAAAGATAGCCTGTTAAAACACCAGCCACACACCATTGCATGGGAGATTATTGTTACTGTTCCTTTTAAGGGATATAAACTCTTTTGAAGACCTATGGAAGCACAAGAGTGCCCTTCATGTTTCTAACTTTTACCTTACAAAACAATAACTTCCTTTAATTTATATACTTATGCTATTCGTCCACTAAGTTCTGAATATTGAACTGGTCATGCATAGGATCACCCCTTTCTGTGAACCCCCTTTTATTTTGTCCAACATGCCATTTACATTTTCAAAAGAGAAAAATATGGTTATAAATCTCTCCTCTTTCTTTACCAAGCCCATAGTCCATCTCATTTTATATGAAGTCCTACCTCTCAGAAGTGATTTAGAGTGGGGTGGGTCAGCCTGCCACATATTTCCTGGCAGGTGGTCCAACATAGAAGGCTAAAGCTGAGTAGGCCTAAGGTGAGTTAAAGTCTCTTTCTGTACCATAACTGTGGTGCTTCATTGTTTTCCTTTTCTTGGCTTCTATGACAGCCTTCCTGCATGACAGATAGCTCCACTAACAATGAACCCTTTGTGTCTCCACATAGCTCTTTAAATCTCAGTTTGTAGCTAAATTGTACCCTTCCTATAATATTTAAATAGAAGCAAAAATTAAAAATATGTTATCCAAATATATTATTTCCCTCATGGTTGAAATGGATTTCCTTAAGTAGGAATGTATGGGACAATGCAAGGGCTTTGTTTGCTGGTTACAGCTGAGAGCATACCCCAAAAACATCCCTCGAAACATTCCATGGAACTTAAAAATGATCTTACTCAAGTCCTTATTTTACTCATTTTTAACACAGTTGTGAATGATCAAGTTTTAGGTGCATACATTTTGCAGAAAGTGAACTTTAGGCTTAAATATTTAAGTATTTGCACAAGGTTTCATATATTTTACTTAGGATGCAACAGTGCTTAATAACCCGGGAAGACAATAAAGTCCTCCAGACCCAGATAATTAAATTAGGCACCCAGCTGCTCTTCTTTCCTTCAGAAATAGGATTATTTGCACAGCACCCAATTATTTTGTATGAATATCATAGAAGAAATTCAACTCTACATCCAATCAGCAAATCTTTTAGCAACCCTTCTGTCCTAGAAGTCCTGCATTGGCAAAACTTTCAAAGTCTCAAAAATACAAAAATGTACAGTGTTCTAAATTTTCCTAATTTTGCATGTATCTTGCTGCATCCCTTCAAATTTTGCCTTGTCAGGAGAGATTCAACATCCCAATTGGTAAATCAAACCCTAGTCCTGAGGATAAAAATCAGAGTCATTCAGCTAATCAGAAAATGGAAAAAATACTGTGTGACTTATGTGACCGATCATGACTTACTGTCACAGATTGATTTAATCACTGAGAACTGAATAGTTGCAGTTAGTTGTTTGTGATCACTCAATGAGTATAAAAACTCAAAGTCACTGACTAATGAAAAATTCTAATATCCATAATCTGGACGTAAGCATGTCTTAAAACTCATTGAAAAATTGTATTTGCTTATGTGCATTCACTTTGTTCTAGGATTAACCCGAAGCAATGGTTGAATATTTCAAAATACTGAGGTAACCAGTAGATAAATAAGAACGGCTTGTGGGAAGAGCTCTTAGAACTAAAAATATGATCCATTAATAAAGTCAATCTGACTGCTTCTGTTACATATCCGTGTAGCTGTTACTGACACATGAGTTGTTCTTTACTCTGTCTCATTTTCCATCCCCATCAAAATGACGACAGCTTTATGAACTATATCAGAATGAACTTTTCCTTGTTGACAAGACATCCACTGAAGTAACTTTACTCGACATGGATGGGGAAAAAAGTAGCACTTACTAGGGCTGTGCAAAGCTTTGATCCCTGATTCAATTCGGCGGAGATTCGGCCCGGTTCGGTGGCCGAATCTCCTAAACAAATCAAGAGACCCTTAAATCTCTCTGAATCAAATCAGAACCCGCTGAATTGATTCAGAGAGATTTGGAAAGGTTCGGTGATTTGGACATAGACACAGCTCTAAATGTTTTTTCTACATACCTCAAGGAACCAGGCAGCTCATGAATGCTGCAATGATGGGGTGGATGGAGCATCCCACAGGGATGCTTCCTGGGTCTGGAGGGCACGCAGGGTCCCCCCATGGCCAATTGCTGAGCCAGAAGGGTGCGGGGTGAGGGGGCTCAGCGCACTCTCTGGCAGACCCAGAAGTGACCAGAAGTACTTCTGGTCCACTTCCAGGTTCACCGCCAAGCACACGGGGGAGGAACCCCGCACTCCTGTGGGATGCTCCATCCGCCCGAGCATCGCAGCATTCATGAGCCACACCTGGTACCTCGAGGTATGTAGAAAAAACATTTAAAGCTATGTCTATGGCCAAATCGCTGATTCTCTGAATCAGCATCAAATCTTCAAATTTGGATTCACCCGAATTGAATCGGGGACAGTGATCCAAATCAATCTAATCACTGTCCCCGATTCGGGCCGAATCTGAATCAAATACAGCCCATTTCACACACCCCTAGCACTTACAGTACTTAAGATATTCATTCTTTAAGGGGAGTTAATGCGAACTACAGGCAGAGCCAGCCTTCAGGGTGGGCAGCATGGGTGACCACAAGGGCACAGTGGTCAGGGGGCACTGGCAGCAAAGCAGCTCTACAGGCAGAGGTGGAGGCGGCGTAGCATGGTGAAGCTCTGGTATTATTGTTCAGGAAGGTAAGGGAGATGATTGTTAACACCTGTGAAGTAAAAAACAATGGGTCATTAAACAGGCCAATAACTCCCTTAGTTGCCTGAACAATAATACATGCCAGAACTGCAACATTCAGGGGAGGGGGACAATTGCTCAGCACCAGCATCTGCAGCAACAGCAGCAGTAGCGGCAGAAACAGGGTCAGAGCTCGGACACTCGTTTCAATTTTTCACTAGCCGTGACCCTTGCAAGCATGTGCAAAGGTGTGCAAGCA